TAGAATTATTCTATGCTAAGATTAAAAAATGAGTTCATGTCAGAACATCAAGCAATAGTGACTTCATTCTAATATTTACACCTGTTTCAGCATTATTGCTCTGAAATCAGTAAATTTYGCACAAAAAGTAAGGAAATTTCCCTTTTTAAACCGTGCCACATTTGTAAGGAACATGCATTTGTGGGATGAGCAGTAGAGCTGAGAATGTGGGTTGTGCACATGAAAAATCTGCCAAGTCCTCTCTGCCAAACAACTTATTTTGTTGTTGCTATTGACTTTTGCTTTGAGATTCAATCAGGCGCTCGTTATAAGATTAATATTTTAGAAGCGTCGTTACAACAAAGAAAAGGTCTACAAGTTTTTTTTACTTTTTGTGCTAAGTTTAAAAATTTGCTCAAATGTACTTAGATTAAATACATTTTAATAAAATGCTATAAATTCAATTCAATTCAAATTCAAAAACACTTTATTGATCCCAGAGGGAAATTTGGTAAAAAAGACTTGCATTAGCTGTTCTCGAAGGTGGAAGGTGTTTGTAACTTTAGCAAAATATCTCATTAAAATTAAACATATTTTTAATGAAACCCTTAGAACGTAATAACTGGATGTTCCTCTGCTGATTAACTCAAAATAAAAGCTATTTAAGACGGCCCCCACTGATTCAACAGCTGCTTTTTCCTTTCCKGGTCTCGGGTTTCAGTGGTGGGTTCACCTTGGACGGGTCCACCCCAGGGACACAGAGACAGACAACCATTCATTTAGTGAGATTTAGAGTTCCACATAAACCTGTCGTGCATATTTTAAGTCTGTGAGAGGAAACTGGATAAAAGCACGAGGAAGCGATCAAAACGTGCCAACCTCAACCAGAAGGTTTCGAACCTGCAAGCTTCTTCAGCTCTACCGTTTCCAAAACTGATTCTATTATTATTATTATTATTATTTTACAAACTGAAATAAAAGCTTTTTTTGTTTGTTTTCTCCAAAGAATGCAAACAGTCCACTGCTTTGGATTGTAACATTGAAGTCCTTGCACATTAATTGCTCACAGTGTTATGGGCGACTCTCAGCAACCACCACCTCCAATTCACTCACAGTAGCTGTAAAGACAACAGTGTAAGAGCCAGTGCTGTGTTTGCTAAGGCTAATTAGATCAGCTGCGTGAAGCTAACTCGAAAAGTGAATTGGTTTGTCCATCCACTCATTCATAAGTTTCACTCAAATTCTTTCAGTGGTTCATGAGATCAAAAAGAAAAAAATTGTATAGGTCTTCTGGACGAGTTCTTCTCTAATGAAACGTTTCGTCTCTCCTCCAAGAGAGACGGGGAAACAAAGCAGCCACTGTTTAAAAG